CTCCATCCAACTCCAGGCCATGGTAGGCACCTCCGAGGAGCTGCGCTCCGGCGCAGAGACAGGGAGGCTCCCTCGGGAGGCACTGGAAGGGCAGCGGCCCTCACGGTGACTCGGGGGCTGCTTGGGGTCCTGGGGAAGCAGCAGCCACTGCCACGTTGTAGCTTTTCCGATGAGGTGGGTGCCAGGAGCAGCCACGTTACTTCATGTTGGTGGCCTTGGCAGGGCAGGGGTCTTTGCTGGTGGTGACCAAAGATGCTGTCAGAGGAAAAGCAGAGTTCCTGGTGGGAATGTCCTGGCATAACATACTCAGTCCCAGCTATGACGCCTGCCATGGGAAAGGAGGGTTTAATAGCTCTTAGGTCAACTGATCCTAGGCAGTGAAACTGTTTTTCAGAAGTCACTTCTTCGAGTCAGCAAACCAGTCATGTATGATACAAAAACATTTCTTTTTCACTTAAAAAAAATTAATAATTTCACTTCTATTCCACTGTTCTTCTGTAAATAGCATAAAACTCGTTTTCTTGGTGTTTTGAACTTGCTGTACTTGATGATTGCCATGTCCTTTCACTGATGTCCTGTTTGGAATTCAGAGCTCTGTAATCTCTTTCTGTTTGGTAGGTTTCTCAAGTAGTTTCCTTTGCTTTTCTCTTGACCTCTTCCCTCTCTCTGTGTTTCCTGAGCTGGTCATGACTATGCACCGTGTTTGAGATGACCGTGTTAGCAGTGCCTACCATAAGAGCTCAAGACTACAGTGAATGCCGCTGTCTAGATTTTCCTTAATGAAAGTTTTCATTGCAAGGTTCTGTTTTTCTGTACCTAGTTTTTTTTTGTCCCAACTGTACTGGAGGAGTTACCAGGAAGCTTGCAGTGCGTGTGAGTAGTGGAAACCGTTTGCTCTTGGGCAGTGTGAGCAGGTTTGTCTCTCGGCCTCCGTGTCCTTCGGGGAGAGGCAGCAGCCACCCCAGCTTCGGATTCTTGCAGACTTGCTGACACTAAACCCTCTTCGAGGTCACGACAGCAAATGGTGCTGTGAACAGATGTTGCAGTGAATAACTAGGCCCTCTTGCTTGACTACTGCTTTTATTTTAGACCCCCTTGGGGCTGTAGGAATGGTACAAAGCCGTGATCTCTGGGTGTATTTGTGTAACGTCATGGGCCAAGGCACGTGCAGCTGAAACACATTTTGAGCATCAGTGGATACAACACTCGCAGGCAAAGAGGTATCTTAATTCCTGCTAGTGACCTTGGGTTGCGATAAGCCATTAAAATCATGAGACGTCGTCCCAAAGCGGTGCCGGCTGTAACGTGTTGCAGAGGCTGGGCCTGAGCCCGGGCAGGCAGCAGCTTCTCCATCTCCCACTGCGAGTTGGGATTCCACAGAGGTGGGGGAGGCCTTCAGCTGCTCTCTGCTTTTTCATGGTGGATGCGAAGCCAATCTGTGACCTCAGCGTAATCCCAGCAGCCCAAAGCTGCTGCGCCGACGCGCCGCAGCCGCGCTGCCTTCTGCCTTGCCCTGGGCCGCGGGAGAGGTGAACTGCAGGTGCCGCCGGTCTGTGTCTTCCAGGACACCCTGAGTCTCTGCTGGCGCCTGCACTGAGAGCTCTGGCTCTGCCCCAGAGGCTGCCTTGCCGGGTTTGCTGTCTCGCTTTAGCTTCGTCGCACCTCACCATGCACTTGGGCACGTGTTGTTCAAAACTAGCCCACCTAGGACACGAGGCTGGATTTTGTTCTTGCCTCCTGTTTTAACTTCCAAAACTCCAGCTGTGACACTCTGCAGTAACCTCTGGCTGCTCTTGGAGCAGCCAACTTCTTCAGTGGGAGCTCTGCAGGGAGGCACGTGTGCCTGAAGCAAAACCTGAGGAATGCGGCGGCCCTGAGCGCTCCCAGGTGTAGCCGTTTATGGGGTCGAAGCCAGAAGGTCACAGCTACTCAACCCTGTTGTTACTTCCTGAGCATTAGAGTTGGTGT